TTTGTAGCACGGATGTCAAATTCCAACTCTGCTCTTTCATAGCTGAGGTTGGGCCGTAGATGTGCTTATATTGAAACGCGTTTTGCTCGGCGACGAGGCTGCCTGAGAGGAGGTTTGTCATGAGCTCCCTCGACAGCAGTAACGTGGACACGAAAAAAGTAGCTAGTTGTAAAGTTAGTTTTGCCATGACATCAACCGGTTGCTTCTTTATGCTCTCCGTGTTACAGTTTGAAACGGGACCTAGCGCGAGGTACGTGCCAAGCAAGCCTAAAGGGTCCCACGAATTGCCTTGCGACTGCACGCATATTCTTCCCCAACAGACACGCCCGCCGCAAACAGTCACCTCTCACTTGTCCTTTCTCTTAACCGACGCAAGAAAGGCAGCGCAACCCCGCGACTCTTCCCGTATAATCGCCTGGTGCGATTGCGACAGCCCCGCCTCCACCTGATCCCGCCCACCACCAACCGCCAAATTACCACACGACTGCAACCATCGCTTGTAGTCCCTCTTTTACCAAAGGCACCCTCCATATCCACCCCCCACAACACCCCACAAGCACATCGACAATGGCCGAAGTCGCATCAGCACCGCAGCCCAACCAGCAGGTTCCGCTGGACACGATCCCCATCTCGCCAACTGAGAACTCCGGCGAGGGCGAGGAACAGTCTTCCACCAACAACGCCGGAGGCGAGGGCGAGATCCGCACCGTCTTCCACGACCCCGAGAACTTCAACGTCAAGCACCCGCTCATGAACACATGGACGCTCTGGTTCACCAAGCCCCCGAGCGGCAAGGTACGACATTGCCCCGTCTTGGGCGTCGATTGTTCCATGCTAACAACTGTAGGGCGACAACTGGGCCGAGCTGTTGAAGGAGGTCATCTCATTTGACTCAGTCGAGGAGTTCTGGGGTATCTACGTAAGTCATGTTCCAATATCAGCAACAACGGGCAAAGCTGACATGGCACACAGAACAACATCACCCCCACATCCGACCTTGCGCTCAAGTCCGACTACCATCTCTTCAAGAAGGGCGTACGACCCGAGTGGGAAGACGCGCAGAACAAGCACGGAGGCAAATGGGCCTTCCAGTTCAAGGACAAGAAGGTCATCAACATCGATGCGCTCTGGCTCCATGTTATGCTCGCTGCCATCGGAGAGAACCTCGAGGACGAGGACGACAATGAGGTCATGGGTGTCGTCGTCAACGTTAGGCGAGGCTTCTACCGTATCGGTCTGTGGACCCGCACAGTCGGCCGCGCTATCCCCGGCGAGGGTGGAAAGGGCAGGACCCAGGAGAAGGGCAAGGAGGTTTTGTTGAAGATTGGCAAGCGGTTCAAGCAGGCGCTTCAGCTCAAGGAAAACGAGGCCGTCGAGTTCTCTGGTCACACTGATGCTGCCAACGCCGGTAGCACCCGTGCAAAGGCCAAGTTCAGCGTCTAAATGGCTCCGGCACACTTCCGAGTCTGCAACACCATGCTTGCTTTTTGCAACATCCTCCGTCGTCCTCGGACACACGGCGCACTCCACCCTCGACTGCATTTTCTCGATTTGTCTCCAGTTTGGTCTAAAAGTATCCCACTTAACGGTTCATGATACACGGACTGAAATTCTAGCATGGCGTCTGCATGGGGCGGCGAAGGGTGATATTGGGTTCTTCAAATGAATCATATGGCCATGGCGGGTATACCTCGAACGGGTGGGGTTCTGAGCTTGTATAGACCAGCTCTCTTATCTAGCATATCTATGAATAAGAGTATATGAATTTGACAACCCAGTAAATCCTCTTTCGCATCTCGTGAACGACTTGTAACATTCACCTGCCGAGTATGGTTCACCCACGTGTGATGGATGGACTGTCAAGGGTATTCGGATGTTTTTAGCGTGGTGACGTCGGCTGTGGCGGTGCAGCATTTTCACAGGCATGTGTAGCCTGCCGACGCGCGCCCAACGCATATACTCTTGATCGCTCCCACCACTCACCCCAAGTCCTAGACATTCGCAACCATGGTCGTGGAAACCGCATACTACGACGCCCTCGGCGTACCGCCCACCGCGACGGAACTCGAAATCAAGAAGGCGTACCGCAAGCTCGCTATCAAACTGCACCCCGGTATATTGCGCAACGACTTTCTCCAAAGCCTCAAGGACTAATTCCGACGCAGACAAGAACCCTGGCGATGAGACAGCACACGCGAAGTTCCAAGAAGTACGTTGATTTACTCATGAGTAGAGGATATGGCGATCCTGTTCGATACTCCACCAGGATTGCGGGGCTGACGGGGTGACAGATTGGCGAGGCGTACCAAATACTCAGCGACGACCAGCTGCGAGCAGCATACGACAAATATGGCAAGGAGGGTGCGATGCCTAGCAGCGGATTTGGTATGGATATACACGTGGTGTAGTAATGGTTGCAGAACGCTAACAGAGGCACAGAGGATCCATCCGAGTTCTTCACCATGATCTTTGGTGGAGAGGCCTTCGTGGACTGGTAGGACAACACCATGGCTCATTACAGCGATGTCTGTATGCAGAAGAGAGACGCTGACACTCATAGGATCGGCGAGATCTCGTTGATGAAGGACCTGACCAAGACCATGGAGATCTCCCAGCGTGAGATGGAGGAAGAAGCCGCCGCCCAAGCAGAAGCCGAAAAGGTCGAGGCCGAAAAGACTCCTGCGACTGCCACAGCTGGCGCTACCCCGGCTGCCGGTACCACAGAGACCACAGCCCCAAGTGCTGCTGCTCAGGCCAAGGAAGCTGAAGCAGCAGCGGAGCGCGCAGGAGCACACGCAGCAGATGCACCACCACCTGTGTACGCTGAGGCGCCCCCAGCATATGCTGAGAACACTGCCGAATCGTCTACTGCACCGAGAGCAGCATCGCCTCCGTCCCGAACGAGCACGCCGCAATCACGAGGCATACCAATCCGCGCAGCCATCATGGACAAATCGGAGGAACAGGCACGTATGGAGGCGGAGGGCATGACCGATGCGGAGAAAGAGCTACGTGAGAAGCAGAAGAAGAAGGCCGGTCTCACCAAGGAGCAGCGGGAAGAGCTCGCGGCATACGAGATGGAACGCAAGAAGATCCGTGACGAACGTGTTGCCAACCTCGCCAAGAAGCTCATTGATCGTATCTCGGTGTGGACTGAAACCGACAAGGCGACCGATGTTACCGCAGCCTTCAAGGAGAAGATTCATCTGGAGATCGAGAACCTCAAGATGGAATCTTTCGGTCTTGAGATCCTCCACGCCATCGGTGCCACGTACATCATGAAGGCCTCTTCATTCCTCAAGTCGCAGAAGTTCCTCGGTATCTCAGGCTTCTTCTCCCGTATCAAGGATAAGGGCACGCTCGTTAAGGACACCTGGTCCACCATGTCTGCAGCGATAGACGCGCAGCTTACTATGGAGGAAATGGCCAAGCTAGAGGAACAGGGCGGAGAAGCCTGGACAGACGAGAAGAAGGCTGAATATGAGAAGCGTGTTACTGGCAAGATTCTCGCTGCGGCCTGGAGAGGCAGCAAATTCGAGATCCAGAGCGTACTTAGGGATGTATGCGACTCCGTTCTCAACGATAAGAAGATCAAGCTGGAGAAGCGAGTGGAACGAGCACACGCGCTGATGATTATTGGCGAGATGTTCCAAAAGGTACGCTCTTTGTCTTACGCGTGGATGATATGGATGCTAACTAGATGTAGGCCGAGCGCGATCCCGAAGAAGAAGGCGACTTCATGGCATTCGAACAACTCATGGCCGAAGCCGCAGCTAAGAAGGATGCAAAATCAGAGAAGCATCACCACCATCACGACAAGAAGGAAAAGAAGAAGGAGAAGGCATGAGGTTGAGTAGTCACCTCTCTGCAATCTTTTCTCACTCTTTGCATACCCCTCTCTTCTTTTTTCGTTTCGTGATATCCATAGATTCTTTTCCCTACGGGGTGGACACCCGCGCACTGCTAAGGTGCGCGATGGCCGGTTTGATGATACAACATGTTGGAGAGAGTTACCATGGGCGTGGGTGGAATGGCATTAAGAGTTGGTTTGGACTGAGCATGTAGCGAGCTTTGTGGGTCACATTTGAAAGTATACGTGATATGCCTTCAGATCGCTCATTGGAAAAGTGATGATAAAGACGTCTGTGATTCAGACATGATTCATAAATGATCAAACGCTATGTCTGTCCGAGTGACTTGTCGATGGACCTGTCGTATCGTATTGTCCGCGGTGCTCTGCTACTGCAAAGAAGCCCGTTTTCTCCGGATGTTAGCGCTATATTGTAGTCGGCCTGACACGGTGTTCTGAATAAACGTGCTACCTCGTACTCCAGGTTCCCGCAGGTTGGCCGATGACCATGACGTCACAATAAGCCTCGCTATGTTGAGCTATGCTGTCTTCTCTTGAGACACGATCCTCCTGATTTCCACGAGTTGATCGACGAACGGTCTGTACTGATGCAGCGGATGATTGGCGGTGCAGGCACATGAAATTATTGCTACTCTGGAGTACATCAGGGACCCTGCCAAGTCCCACAGGCTGTCCACGAGATAGTGCACCAAAATTTTCGGTCCCAAGGTCTGGACGCGTGCAACCTGACCCCACGATACACTATTTTTAGGCCTGGAATGATGGTCCAGATCGTATTCCGCTTCACACCATGATGCCGATTTGTTGAAAGCTTCGACGCGAAATGTTCTTTCAGCGAGCGTTTGACCCACACTAAGCGGCGGGGATGACGTCGCTCGGCGGCGATGCGCGGAAAGAGCATTCTAGTACTGTGACATCGTCCCAACAAAGAAGTCCGGGGGATCGTTACGCGTACCTCGTTAATCGGCGTAAATCTAAGCTTCTCTCATAATCACTTTGTTTTCTTAGTTATTCTGTTTTACTCTGTTATCCAACCACACAACGTCATTTTTACTATTCGCTGCCATTTCCGGGACGTTTTCGGACATCAACTACCGAGTACATTCGCTTGAAGAGGGGGGTTTCCAGTATGGATGTTTGGAGGCGACAGAATGGCGAAAGTGGTACTGATAAGTTTCTCGACCTGATTGCAGATCCGTTCCAGGGTGAAGTAAGTACAAACACATGTTGCGTCGAACCCTTGCGAACATCATACTTACCCATATTTCAGATCCAAGAGAACTCGATTTACGCCGCTATTGTATATTCCTTCGTTATATCCGGGCTACTGGTCGTTGTATTCTGCTTTCTCCGACCACGCAACTCGAGAGTCTATGCACCACGAGCGAAACATGCCGATGAGAAACACCGACCGAAACAACTGGACAAGAAGCCGTTCAGTTGGTTGGATGCAGTCAAAAATGTGAAAGAGCAGGAATTAGTGGACACTATCGGTCTGGATGCGGTTGTCTTCCTACGGTTCCTTCGAATGATTCGGGACATCTTCATGGTGTTGACAGTGGTGGGTTTAGGCATTCTGATACCCGTCAATGTCGTAGGAGGCTCGCCGCTTTATAAGCAGTGGAAAGAGATACCGACGCTGATGAAGTTTACGCCGCAGTACATATTTGGAAGGAAATTCTGGGCTTACGTCGTGGTGGCGTATCTGATCCAGGGTGTTGTGTGTTTCTTCCTTTGGTTGAATTACAGAGCGATTCTAAAACTTAGGCGTGCGTATTTCAACACTCAGGAATACAAGTCTAGCCTGCACTCGCGAACGTTACTGGTAAGTCTTGTCACTGTAGTCAGGAAACTTAGCTAACATCAAAAAGCTTACACACGTTCCCGAATCATCGCGAACGGATGCCGGGCTTGTCGAGCTTGTCGAACAAGCCAAGTCAATCGATACCATCCCCCGGACAGTGATCGGTCGCAATGTTAAGGATTTGCCAAAGCTTATTGAGGCGCATGATGACGCTGTCCGCCAACTCGAGAAGCACTTGGCGGAGTACCTGAGCAACCCAAACAAGCTGCCCGCCAAGCGTCCTACGTGCAAAGCCACGAAAGACGATCAAGCTGTGCATGGCAAAGGGAAACTCGATGCGATCGACTACCTGACGGACCGAATCGCAAGGTTGGAGACAACGATCAAGGAAGTACGAGAAGGTGTCGACATGCGAAATCCCATGCCCTATGGATTTGCATCCTATACGCACATCGAAGATGCTCATGCGGTTGCGTATGCGACGAGGAAGAAGGGCCCTGCTGGTTGTGACGTCTACCTCGCCCCCAAACCCCATGACCTCCTTTGGCAGAACCTTCCGATGACACGAAGGACTCGCAGAATACGTGCTTTCTGGGATGGTCTATGGGTAGTACTGTTCACCATTGCTTTCGTTGTTCCTAACATCTTGACATCCGTCTTCTTGTCAGACTTCTCCCACTTGGGGCTTGTATGGCCAGCCTTCATGACGAATCTTCAAGCCCACCCGACAGGTTGGGCTATTGCACAGGGTATCTTGGCCCCCTTGGTGCAAACTCTAATGTACATGGGAGTTCCTGTGGTGGTCAGTAAACCCCTCACAAGCAATCTCTGAGATATAAGCTGACATGATATCCGTAATTCCAGTTCCGTCGATTGTTCACACACTCCGGAGATGTCTCGAAGACCTCCAGGGAACGCCATGTCACTGCTCGTCTGTACTCCTTCTTCGTGTTCAACAACCTCCTCGTCTTCTCTGTATTCGGTTCGGCGTGGCGATTCGTCGCAGCCGTCGTCGCAGCGCAGGACCAAGGTGTCTGGGAAGCTATTCAGGATGGCCATCTGTTCACCAAGGTTATGACCGGGTTGTGTAATGTGTCTACCTTCTGGCTTACCTGGCAAATGCAGCGAAACCTTGGTGCTGCCATCGATCTCTCGCAAGCCTGGATTTTCTTGTGGTCCTGGTTCCAACGTACCTTCTTCTCGCCAACTCCAAGAGAGCTTATTGAGCTCAGCGCGCCTCAACCATTCCCATATGCCGACTACTACAACAACTACCTCTTCGTGTCGACCGTAGGTCTCTGCATGGGAACACTACAACCGATCATCTTCCCAGTGACAGCTTTCTACATCGCCATGGATAGCGTCTTCAAGAAGTACCTGCTTCAGTATGTTTTCATCACGAAGACCGAGTCTGGCGGCAGATTCTGGAAGCTCCTAGTAAATCGCATGCTATTCGCGGTCGCCTTCGCAGATGCGGTCATCGCGCTGGTCGTTGGTGCAAACGGTGTTGGATCGATCGATTTTGATAATATACAAGTAGGAACCGGTAACATGCTGTATGCCATGGTTCCACTACCCTTCCTGCTATTCGGCTTCAAGTGGTACTGCAGGCGAGCTTTCGACGATAAACTGCTGTACTACTCCACGCTCCCCTACTCCGATGTAGAGGGTTCCCATTCCGTGGATCACCCGAAATCGAAGAAGAGCACCAAGGTCTCGTCTCGCTATGGCCATCCCGCGCTATACAAGAAGCTGCTTACGCCAATGGTACACGCAAAGTCTCAGCATCTCCTGAAAGAGATATATGGCCACCGGTCAAACGCTGATCGAGATATCTTCGATGCACCTCACCGCCGTTCGACCGATCGCGCTATGCCATCAACGCCAGGCTATGACCGCTTCGGTGATTACTTTATGACGGAAATGGATTCTCATCAGCCAGGCAAGCATGTAAGTGGTGGAATAGAAATCCCTCACATGGAAGTCGTCACCGAGTCAGAGCTCGACTTCGAGAACTTCAAGAAGCGTGCAGAGTTCCGGGAACAATTTGGTGGCGACGGGGAGCTGTACGGCCGACCCGAAGACATGTCAAGGCCTGGCACTCCCTCTACTTTCACTACGCTCACCGAGATGGGTCCGTATGCACGTCGGGGTTCACCGTCTGGATCAATGGCGTCGACTAGGGCGTCGAGTCGAACACGACTAGGAGATAAGGAAGAGCTAGAACAGGGGACTTCATACGCTAAAGGCTACCAGAAGGCGCCGCGTCCTGATGAAGGGTTCGAAGACGTTGGCATCGATGTTGATATCCCGGCAACGCCGTTCAATGCTGACACAGTACTGCACGGTACGAGTAGCCGCCAACCACTTGTCAGTGCGGATGAAAGGGATGGTGGCGAAGAATACTTCAGCCGTACCAGTCGGTCACAGGATGAGGACACGAGTTATGAGCGTTTTAGACATGCTAGATGATACCATGCACAGTAGACGAAAGGAAGATTTAATCATAATGCCTGCATAATATTGCAATATCTACAGGCTCCACAGTGTCGCGTGATGTCGAACTCTGCTGAACTAAGCAAGTTCTACGAGCTGCTCCCTGTCTGTAGCAACGATACAGCAGAAATCCGATCTACTCACCGTATGCTAAGCGCTGATTCTGGATCCGATAGTATGTCACCACTCACTTGTCGCCGTTGTGCCCACGTGGACGGTAAGTCCGACGAAGGACCAGGCGAATTTAAGTTCCGCAACCGGTAATACCACCACCGGTAGCAGTAATGCTTCACGTGTAATTGGTGCACCAAAGAGAATGCTCTTCAGCCAAAGGCTTCGTCAGCTCGAGATCTCGACGTGAGTGCAATCAGCCCGTCATGCCACACGTAAGGCCGATCGCCAAGAGCGGAGAGTTATTCCGGGACATGGGGAATGAGCCCAGGAACATTGGCGACCAAGTCACAGTACACTCCGCCTCCGCACAACACCTCTGGGCACCCAAGTATACAAGAAACTACCACGCTGCCTATGTATACAAGGCCGAACAAGACCGCGCATAAGAGAAAAACGCCTCGCAAGCATAAGACCGAATGCCAAAGGTTTGAGGTGGAGAGAAACACGCGGATATACTTGGCAGGGTGTTGCGAAGAAACAAGTCGAACAGCCTACTCCCGACGATAAGACCGATGGTCAGGTCATGTTGTACCTCGACGAGGCGTGTATAGTGCCAAGCTTGGCTTCGTGATGCTAGGCATGGTGTTGAAAGCTGAGTCTCAACTGTGTCCTGGGACTCCTGTGGCTCCATCGTTACAGCTAGCTAATTACAGGGAAGGAGCTTGGATGCGGAGATTGCAAGTCGGGTCGCATTGTGTTTAACGTCCTAACGGTGGAGTAGGGTGAACTGCGGCGATCTTTGCCTTTTGATGCTCACTACATATCGATGATCTTGGTAGTCGGGAAAGTCTGACGGGTAGCTGTATTGCGATGGGAGGTAGCGTGGTGGTGGATAATTGTGCGCAATGTGGCTTGTTACAAGCTTGCGCCACAAGTGCTTACCGCGGTTACTTGTCGTATCCCGCGTATCCTGTGTCCCTGCTTTCGCAAGCCTTCAGTAATCGCTTTAACCACCACACACGCCATCGTCTCAGCTTGGCGTCCGCGTATGCTATACTTCACCTGCCAAGCCCCTCAAGATATCGCTCACGACGATATCCGGATGTCTATCTTGAGGTACGGGCGTACCGCAGAAACGCACTGGATACTCGCGCCCTGTACTAATTGCCTGATTATGAGCTAGCCGCTCACCCTTCGTTCTCACACCGATCCCCCAGTTTCACAAGTGGACTGATTCTACAAAAGGGAAGAGCATGTGGGCGAACGCTCCATCGGTTTGAAGATACGACGGGAACGGCAGAGTCCTGTCCGAGACTCAGGCCTATAGCAGCAGCGAGAACCCGGCTCTTGGTTCGGAGGTATAGGCTAGGGGTAAATACAATAGGCGCATCCCTGTCGCGCGTCGCAAAGCAGCCTCGTTCACATGGCCTGGATCTGCCAAGACAGTTCTCATAGGATCGAGGTCCTATGTGGAGTTTCAGGACCAGGGTGTTATTCTGCTGTGGCGAAGCTGGGCCACAACGTCGCCTGGTTATTTCGTAAAAATCGAATGATTCCCCAGACTTGGCGCTGCGAGATGATGGTAAGTCTTGGGAGGGATACCCATCCTCCCAACGGTCTGCTAACGACTCAGACATCTTGCGACTTCTGTAAATCTGCACACCACAATCAGCACGCAATGACGATCGCCAATCTCTGCGGACACTTGTGACGGCGCCGATGTTGGTAGAGCACGTCACATCCGTCCGCTGTCAGCGTAAGGGAACACCATGACTCTGTCTCGCTTCCGACACGAGGGATTGCTCCACGTCTCAGCATACCAAGCAAATGTCACAAGTTCTTGACCCCTGTGTGGCCCCTCTGTATGCATCTGGGCGCCTTCTTAACCACGAATTCAACTTGGCACCTACCTGTATGGGAATATCCCCGCTCCTTCATCTTGTATTCTGTATACAATGGCCAAGCGCTGGCGTTCCTGAGGCATCTTGACGTATGACTTGGTCCTCTTGGCCTGTGTCTATTCCCACGGAGGGGTATGGCTGTTCGGCAAGTAAGGGACCGGAACGGTATCGGGAAGAAATCGTTGAGATGTAATGCTCGTGTGATTGTTAGCTATAACTTGAGCTTGGTGATCCACCTCAAGCATTTTCCCCTCGTTCAAGCCGGCACTTCCAATCTTCCATTATCTTCTATTCTAAACGGTCCGTTCTCACCCGTTCACCTTCCTTTCGTATCTACCGTTCTTTGGCCCAGTCTCAGGGTCTTCGGGCTTATTTTTCTCTTGTCCTATCCTTACCTATCTTGTAATCGGCCGGGTTGATCCTGTCTTACTTTTATACTCCACCTTCGTTCGTGTTGCACGTTGATCGTTAGCATCGACACCAAGACTTCGCACGCGTACTCGCTCTTGTTAGTCTTGTGTACTGAGGCATATACAATCTTGTCTTTTGCTTAAGAGCGACTTCGCCCTCGGAAAAGTTTGGAAACATCATCAGCAGCACTTCACATTCTCTCAGTGTCTTTTACAGCATCTTTCCACTCTTTACAGTTCAGCTCAGTCTATCATTCATCATGCTCTTCTCCGCACTCCTCCTTGCTTCGACCGCATCCGCAACATGCCTTCACGGCTTGTCCAAGTTCAAGCGCGCAGAGGGCGCAGAGACCGTTGAGGTAAACACCTTTGGTTATGGGCCTATGAACGGTCCTTTCAACTGGGCTTCGCTTGCTCCTGAGAACGAAGCTTGCAAAGCCGGCAAGAACCAGTCTCCTATCAACGTCGGTATGTTCATCCTCAGAGCTCGGCCAATGATACACCTACTGACAATTTCCACCAGATGCCACCATCACTGCGGCACCTTCCAGGCCCACCCTCGACATCCCCGCTGGCCCAGTGGTCTTTGAGAACCTCGGAACGACCATTGAGGTTGTCGTCAACGGCACCACCAGCTATGCCGGTACCAACTACCGCCTTGTCCAGTTCCACATGCACGCGCCCTCTGAGCACCACGTCAACGATGAATTCTTCCCTCTTGAGATTCACATGGTCCACCAGGGTGTCGATGATGAGAGCCAGCTCGCCGTCATCGCGCTCATGTTCGAGGTCTCCGCCAACGACTCTGCTTCCATGATCCAGTCACTGTCGTCCTCCCTTTCCGCTATCACCACACCCGGTACCAAGACCGACATCGGCGACGGTATCGACTTCACCGACGTCGTCTCTGTCCTTAAGACGTCCGAAATCCAGACATACAGCGGTTCCCTCACCACTCCTCCTTGCGCCGAGGGTGTAACCTTCCTTATTGTCAAGGACCCTCTTCCCGTCAACGTCGAGGACTTCAACGCCATCAAGAAGATTGTCAAGTTCAACTCCCGTTTCATCCAGAACGCTCTTGGCCAGAACAACATGATCGAGATCGGTGCCCTTGCTGGTGGTAACACCTCGGCTGTCCCTGCCGCTATTCCTGCCGCGGCTCCCATGTCGAGGTCGAGCCTTGAGGTCTCCGCTGACTTGCCCCTTGTTAACGCAAAGGTTGGCATCAACGCTGCTATTGAGTCTCCCGCTCCTGTTCAGAGGCGCGTACGCAAGTACTAGATTCGCGTTCCTTTGCTTGTTGTCAAGACATTCCGTCCCATCGTTGAGGAGTAGGTGGAGTTGTAGATGAGCCGAATAGTAGAAGGGTTTTCTTTTTTCTTTTTCCATACTCGACTGCTTTGCATTTACACAGAGAGAGGTGGTGGGGTGATACCAACTTTTTTTACTAGTTATTATCTAGAAGATTGTTTAGAGGAATGTTTTCAATACCAATCTAGGCTTGATGCTTCAAACTTCTCGCTGGCTCACGCCAGTCTTCCTTTTTTATACGAATACACGTTGTGACATTCTATGCATCCTTGTGTCTAGACGGTTCTGACGCTATGAACTGTCGATCAAACAACATGTGAACAAGCAACGGGACGCCTAAGAATGGTGGCCTCATAGCTTAGCCTGTGAGTAGCTGAATGTCAATTATTCGTTGCCTGGAAATTGTCCAAAGAGTAATAGTAGTCTTTGAACGATCGTCGCGATCACAATCTGTGATTTTCCTCGAAATACACGCAAGTCGGCAGTCACATCCGTACTATATCAGCTGTGTGTTGTCATAAGCGTCAACCAGATAGAATAGTCATATGCTCATGGAAGAAATATTTGGAATTGAAGTCTGACTTTAAGATATCCTGTTTTGCAAACTCCAGCAATGCAATGAACGAACACAAAAAAACCCGGTCTCATCTGCGTTACGCAGACCCAGACCATTTTGCAACCTGGCGCAAACTGACTCTCGCCGCGACTGCCCATCTATCTTACAAGAGACTAGATAACCAATCGTACTCAGGATTGGGATTAGATGTCCGAGTCGCAGCATCCTGTGGACCATTCAGTCTACTAACAGAAGGAGGCGCAACATAATTTTCAGATGTGGGTGTCTCGATGGATGGTCTTCCTAGACCAGGCAACTAATCGTACCCAGGATCGCCACTAGGTGCTGGCGTTGCAGCATCCCACGCGCCTGGTGTAGGCGCCGCAAGACCATATCGACCACCCGATGTGTCACCAGGTGTAGGCGCAGCGTAGTTGCCAGGCGTGGGAGCATCCATGGGTGGTCCTCCCGGTGTAGGGGCGGAGTACGCGCCATAACCACCGGGTGTAGGCGCTGCGTAAGCACCTGGTGTTGGGGCGTTGTAAGCGCCAGGCGTGGGGGCAGAGAGACCACCAGATTTCGAAGTGGTGTTTCCTCCCGATCCACCCCAACCAGGTGTGCGACCACCTGAGCTGAAACCACCATAGGCGGTACGGCTTCCGTCGTTGCCGCCATAAGCTGTCGCTCCGCCGTAAGATGTGGCGCCTCCGTAGGCAGTTGCGCCGCCGTAAGCTGTTCGAGAGCCATCACCACCACCATAAGCAGTTCGCGATCCATCACCTCCACCATAAGCTGTGCGTCCGCCGTCACCTCCCCAACCAGGCGTGCGGCCTCCAGCTGCGGCACCACCTCCCCAGCCGGGTGTGCGACCACCACCGCCACCTCCCCAGCCAGGCGTACGGCCGCCGCCACCACCAGCGTTGCCCCAGCCAGGTGTTCGCCCACCAGACCCAGCACCGCCGTAGCTTGTCTGGCCGCCTGAGTAACCTCCACGCGAGCGGTTAGGGAATTTGCCTCCGATCTCCACGCTTTGGCCAGTAATTGGATCCTTGACAGTGAGAAGCTCCTTCTTTACTGAGACCTGCTTGTTCTTGGTGTGCAGTTCGATGCGAGCTTCGTCGTTCATGGTATCTTTGACAATGCCCAAAAGACCCTTGTAGGCACCCTTCCGAATGACGACTGTTTTGCCAATGAGCTTATCGCGGCCGAAAGATGCGCGGGGTGGAGGCATAGCGGTCGCATTGCCGTTCGCTCCTGCGTTTAGGGCAGGGTTGATGCCACTGAGATCTGGGCCCTGGGCTTGGGCGCGACCACTCTTTGCTGCCATTGTAACAACGTTGTTGCTTCGGACCACGAAGATACCCTGATTCTCGACTAGTTCGCGGTTGCGGACGAAGAGTGTACCTCGGTGGATGTATAGAACCTTGCCTTGACGGCCCTCGCCTCCGTACTCCTTGACATCGTCCTCGTGTCGGATCTCGGAACCGTCCCGGTCGGTTGCTACAGCATGCTTGTTCCTTCCGACGATTTGTGAGACTTGTGTATGGAGGAGCGTGCGAACATCGCCCTGTTGATCGACAATTCGTAGGACTTCTCGGTCAACACGGACAACGCAACCGATGGTCGAGGCACTATAGTCTGTTAGTAGGTCATCTTGTATTGGCAGCGAGAGAACTTACTCAATCTGTACGAAGTCGTAGAGATCAAAGTTGGAGTCAGCACCGACGTTTGCCGAATCAGCAGCGCGCTTCAGGTCTTTGCTAAAGACAGTGATTTCCTGCTGGGTAGAGTCACAAAGCAAGGTAATCTTATCGTCCTTGATCCTGGTGACTAGACCAACTTCGTCGACGTACTTGCTGCCACCAATGACCTTTACGTGGTCACCGTCTCGGAAAAGCTTTCGTAGAGTCTTGACGGGAGCATCAATCCGCCTGCCCCTAAGATCGCCTTCGCTGACGCGGAGTGTGAGGATGTCACCAATTACGGTAACAGTGGTACCGCGGATACCCTTCTGTTCACCAGTGTAGATCTCGACATTGTCTCCTGCAGCAAAGGCAGAGCCAGAGTCTGCAGCCTTTTGCGCAGCCTGGACTGCCAGAAGATCCATGGTCTCTGTACCATCTGCGTTCTGAATTGCGAAGAACTGTAACTCCTCCATCCTGGGGTTGACCTTTTCAGTGCTGACCCAGTTGACCTTGACTTCCTTGATAAGGAAACCGTTCTGGTAGTCTTCGCCCTTGTAGGTGTATGCCCTTTGGTTGCCAGATCCGGTCATGCTGAGATGCTTCATGTGTCGCTTCTTCGCTTCGGCTTCGTTGAAGAGTTTGGCGGGTGGACGCTCGGTCTGTCGACCAAAGAAACCGCGCTTACGCTTGTTGTCTTGTGCGGCGTTGGCATCGTCGTTCAGACCGTAGTCTAGACGTGGTACGAGTTGTACGACACAGTCAAGACCGTTGGTCGAGACTTCAACGACCTTTGCGAGATCGCCCTTGTATGTGGGAGGTCGTAACATGCGCACAAACTTGCCGACTTCTAATGGCGCGCGCTTCTTCTTGCGGAGCAGATCTGGACGCTCTTTGGGGGGAATGGAGAATTGGCCGGAGCCCATGAAGACATTCTGGATGCCCTCAATCAGCTCAACAACAGCCTGCTTCGAGTCGGCTTCCACGTAGAGGAAACCGGACTGAGGTCCTGTAGGGCCTCGTTCAAAAGCAGAGTAGACCTGGATTGGCTGGCCCGCGCGCATCTTCTCGTCGATGCGCTTCTGAATAGCCATGACAATCTCGCGCTCTTTTCCAGGACGGCACTTGCAACCCCAGATAGATGGATCGTCAACGGTGGGCAAAGCCAGGGGAACGGCACCAGCACCACCGCGACGAGCGCTCTGCATTTCACGTCGCCTGTACTTCTCGTCGAACTCCTTGGCAAGCTCCTCGACATCCTTTTGTGCGTTAACTTCGCGGCGCATGTCTAGTTCGCGGTGGTGTCGGTCGTCGAGGTCAGCGCCCGTGGGCTCGAGGAGGTCGTCGGGGTGGACTTCATCAACACCTTCATCGTCGCCTTCTTCCTCTTCCTCTTCGTCTTCATCGACTTCGGCTTCAACATCAATGAACATGTTTCGCTTCGCCTTCTTTCTCCGCTTGGCGGGTCGGGCCTAGGATGGTCAGTAATTAGGCAAAGAATGAGATGCTCCTATTGAGACGTACGACAACATCTTCGTCGTCTTCATCTTCTTCGTCATCCTCCTCATCGTCATCGTCATCGTCGACATCTATGCCGCCGCCCTCTTCATCTTCGTCGTCATTACCCATCCTGTTCGGCGCATCGACTTCGTCTTCTTCGTCTTCGTCCGCCGGCCTGCGCGAGGCCTTGTTGGTTGGCGCGATGTCATCTTCGTCGATTTCAGGTGCCGGGTTGAAGTCCTCTTCCTCTTCCTCGGGATCGCTGCCGTAAGACGCCATAATTGCGAGTTGGCGTCGTGATAAATAGGCGTCTCCCTGTGAAAGCTGTCGCGAAGCTCGGGGGTGCGACTGCGGCGATCAGACTAGTGTGAGGGTGAGGCTGACCGTTGACCAGTTCTCGAGGTCAGCGCGCGGTTGGAGAGAAATAAGAAGGAGAAGTGAGAGCAGACGTCAAGCGTCGATGGAGACGGGTTTGTTTTAACCTTGGGAACGTCGAACCAGGTCCATCCAAAGAAACCGCGCTAAGCCGGCGCGCCGCAAGGGGCCGTGCGCCCGTCGGGGGAATCGACGCCACAAGGCCTATGAGGTGAAGCATCACTAACGCGTTGGCTTCACATGTTTTGCAAAGTGGGGATTCAGTGTGCCCAAGGTGAATGCAGACACAAAGCGACGCGTCGAGCGCACACCGTGTGCAGAAATGTAACCATATCTGATGTCATAGCCTCGCCTTCTGTCCACCATTCTCGCGCATCTGTTCCTCATCGCATATCCTTACCACAGACCTGCCCCATGCCTTCCGCGCCTTTACATCTTCCAGCGCCTTACTGACCGTCTCTAACCCAGCATACTCCTCCTTGTATATGATAGGCCGTATCTTCCCATCATCTACTAGCTTAATAAAGCCGTCCCAAACATCCTTCGTTCTTTGCGGGTCTCTCCTGCCGTCTTCTCAAAACCGCTACCATGGGTCAGCAAGCCACTCTCGCAACAGAATGGCCAGAGCAAAGCCATGGGAACGTGGGACTTACATAACCAAGTACTGCAACCCCCTTGAGCAGAATTCGATTGGTCCTTACATTTTCAATGCTCCCATTCCTGGCTGCGAATCCTACCACAACCAATCGTCCCCGATACTTCAGGCACTTGATCCCACTCTCCACAGCCCCAATCCCATCATACACAACATCCACCCCCTCTCCACCGTTAGTCGCCTCCCTAACCCTGTTTTCCCACCCCTCGTCTCCATAGTCCACAATAACATCCGCACCGATCCCCTTAACCACCCCAGCTTTTTCAGATCCGCCAACGACAGCAATGACCTTGCAACCAATAGCCTTTGCAATCTGCACAGCCATGACACCTAGTCCACCACTGGCACCAAGTACAAGTACCGTCTCTCCAGCTTGAAGTTGCGCAACGGAGAGTAAAGCACCATAGCTGACCGCACCACTTGCGCCTACTGCACATGCTTCGGCATTCGTCCACTGAGATGGGACACGACGAACGGCATCTTCAGGGACACATATCTGTTCCGCATAGGCGCCTAGACCTCCGCCAAAGACACGATCGCCGGGTTTGAATGAACAATCTTCTGGGCTATGGGTCACGACGCCCGAGAACTCTGTGCCTAGGGTGAAGGGTGGTTGGACATGTCTGCGGTTGTTTTGATGCAGACCCTGTGCATAGAGGAGGTCGACATGTGTTACCGCGGCGTGGCTGATTTTTATATGGACATCTCGGTGTGATTTGGGTGTTGAGGGTAGGAGGGTAGATGGTTGTAGGTCTGCGACATTCTGAGTAGGTGGTGTTAATTAGAGAGAGAGCGGTGGTGCGATCGAGTCTGTGGATGGCCTTACAGAAACGAACTTCTCGATGTGGATCGCCTTCATCTTTTCGCTCTATTCAAACCTCTATAGTCATTTGAAATTAATAAGGTATTATGGTATAGTACGCGGCGGCCGTAGTAGACAACATGCATGACGGGAGATCGACGTGTGTGGGGTATGATGAGTTGCCGAGGTTTGAATGGCTATTCGGTTTCCCTATCCGTGAATGAAGGCACTCGTTTCTTATGAGTTTCACGCAAAACAATTGTACGTCCTAAAGAACGTTCAGTTGTCAGTTCTTGTTCCCCATAGACAAAAAGGTCTCTCGAATGTCTTCGGCGTCTACTGTTAGTCAAAGGCACAATTCATTAGATCCGAGACTTGCATGCCTAAAACGACAAGGAAAAGGCTGTGACTTTGTGGGAAAAGCTACACACCGATTGAAACATATACGAGCTGTTCTTGAGCTATAGAAGACATTCGGTTTCGTGTAGGGCATGGTATACTAATATAGGTCATTTGTATAGAATTCATGCACCATGCTCAAGCGCGATATACACAGAAGCGCGTTTGAAAGACCCCATGCACCGTAACACCATATCCGCCCTCGTTTGCTCAACCATGGTGTTATGCGCCTGGAGCCTGATCATCGACCTGTCCCATCTGCAATGATGCCTCGCGCTCCCTCTGACGCCGCAAATGCCATTTCTCAACGTCCGACTGGGGCTTCTTCTTCGTCTCGAACTTTTTCCGGCCCTTGTGTGCCGCCATGTGCACTTTGGTCCAGACTGCAGATACAGCGATCAGGCAAGCAAGACACAAAGCGATCCAGTACGTGATTAGAAACCTCTTCAGGTCTTTCCGTTCCTCTTCCGTTTCTCCTGCCACGGGCCCCAGTGCCGCCTTCTTTTGTGAATGGATGCTCGGTACAGCAAGCAGCGTCGTGGTCGCGGCAAGCTGCTGTAATCCGAGAATGGGCTCTAGGAGAAGGTTCGAGATCGGGGCTTGTCGACCTAGGATTCCGAGGAGCTCTGCCATGGATATGTTTAGGCCATTACTCAATGCGTCGAGCACGAGCGTCGTATGGAGATCGGAATCTTGAGACATGGTGGCGTTGTTGACAGACTATCTTTGTTAGCTTCTGCTTATAGTGGGATATGTTCTGCTTTACATTGTTGGGTGATTTTGCGCAGTGTAGTCAGGAAGAAACAAAGGCTCTGCGATTGGGACTAGTGAGCCTGGAAGTCGGAATTATAAACCAGTAGAATAACCTTGGTTTACACCTCGAACCAAAAGCCATGTTTGATGCGGGAAGAGCTACCCTGATGTCAGACCACTTGCGTGCCGTCAGGAAAGAACGAGCATGGGAATTGGCAAGTGGGGTTCTTCATAGAGAAAGACTACCACGTCGACCATCCGTTAGCTGACAACATGCTGGTATGGAAGACATTGTTATCCAACGAGCCTTCTACACTCGGGAGGTAGTCCATCAAATCATCGAAGCCTAGTGCATCGATATCAAAATTGAAAGCATCGTCGAATGACAATTGTATATCGGGTACCACAGGGAACGCATGACTTCCGCGGGCTGCGTCCGTGATCGAGATGTCCTCAATGTTGTCGGAAACACAAGCACAGGGTCGTGAGGCTGAAGTTTCCATCGATGGTGCGGTCTTTGTGCTTGATGCTTCTTTCAGCTTCTCATACTCCTGCAAGAGCGACATGAGAAGACGGACACCGTGTACTGCAACACTCGATGTGTAGAACAGCTGTAAGAACCTGACGGCCTTCTTCACGTACAGTTGGTACTCTTGAGCTTCCCCATCCGCCTCAGCGCGGTGGAAGAGCTCCAATATCATGCAAATACCAGCCGTGACGACAAAAGCTTGCTCGACCCACCATTGCGGCTCGTTGGCATCCCGGGCGTTGTATATGTTAATAATGTTCTGTGCGGCGGTCATACAGGCCCACCTGCTGTATGTATAGCGTAAATCCTTGAAGCTCTTGCTCAAGAAGTTTTGGTGAACTGAGCATGGTAAATAGTGTCAGCGTAGGTCCCACGTGAGTGTAATATGGAACTACCACTTACTCATGATGATCTTATGGTTGACGGACGCTTGATGCAGTCTCCTCGCCCAGGTCACCCACTGAGGCCAGTTGGGATCGTACGGCGTCCGGGGTGAGAGGCATGCTGGCACCTTCTCCGTACATGTAGCGCGCATCTCACCATCATGTTTGAGTATCGCAGCGTACTTGGTAGCGTCGTCTTTATCTAGAAGCCCCACCATAGTGTTATGAACGTCAAGGAGTACCGCAGCGTAGTCGAAGAAGTAATGCCCGACGGCGGCGACTGTCGGGGTTGCTGGATTGGAGAGCGGCGTCATAGTCTCTTCGTCCAACATGCGTGGCCTTGCGCTCGTGAAATGTCGCCATTGGAGGGTCAGCGTATAGGCAGCCTGCGAAGTGCAACACAACCTATAGTATCTATTAGTTGGTTCTTATCAAATCATATTGATTGAGCTGTAAACATACCACTCTTGGGACACAACCGCGTACCACACTCTGCGACCAATCTCACGCTCGACAAAGGCTTCCTTTTGATCTGGGGTTAGTTCCGTTATCCGTTCATCGTCTGGATGCGGACCAAGTCTAAAACGTTAATTACCGATACTTCTTTTAGTAGCATGTGACACTTACCTGTGCAAACCCAAACCCTTCGCAATGACAACGCCGACGCTTCGCAAAGCAATCCATTGATTCGTTGAGCCGACGAGATGTTCGTATGCGTGCATGATATATATCGTCTGCACCGAGTGAATGCTATATTGTGACGTGTAGTTGCCAAGATTCAGACATGAGATCGATGCGGCACCCCATACACGTGCTAGCTGGACTTTGTCATCAAGTGAGTAACCCCAGGAGGCTGAAACACCTTCTGCAGAGCAGATTATACTGGATGAGAGGATAGCAACTACGGCATTCGACGTCAGTAGCTTCTAAGTGAACGACAATGTAGAGTACATCATTGGAACTCTTTCCAGTAGTAGCATGCCACATTGAAGACTCTTGCATCGTTCGTGACTGAGATGACTTACATAAGAGTGCAGTCCATTTCCAATCGAGACTTTGCAGATCGAGCTCGGACGACTGACCGTAGGTCGCGAGCAGCTTTCTTCTGAAGCTTGGCGCATGGAAAATGCCACCAATCCAGTATACCATGTACTCCGTGTAGTAATCCACAATTAGCATTAGCTTATCTTTCGACGGTAAGATGGACTGTAGATACTGTGTCTCCACTATTCTCGCTGCGTTGGAGTAGCAACCCGCAAGGGGGCTTGATCCGTTCGCTGCATCTCGCACTGGTCCTTTCGATCTGGCGTAAGAGAAACTCTTGTCGAAGAGGGTTTGGTTCGCGTCTGCATCCTTTTCCTTCAGTATTGCACCGATGCTAATCTCAGGCAAGCTGTTTCGCCATGCTGAATCTGCAAGGGGCTGGCCTTGACTCGATCGAGCCTCGGTCGTGGGTGGAGCATGAGGAACCAAGGGTAGCAGCGCCTGAGAATCTACATCGGGAGAAGGAACAGACGAAGATGTATCGCTTCCACTAGCTCCCGAGGGCTTTCTGGGGTATTTGCGATGAATATTTGGGTTGTATCCATTGACCCACTTGGTAGTGCATAGATGGCCTTCGTTATTCTGTACACACCTCGTGCAGGGCGCTTTTCGATCGCACTTCTGCCGTCGTTGGGAGCATCGCGTACAGGTCTGACGTTGTTTGGGCATGATTTCTTTCCTAATGTCCTGCGTACAAAGGGTGGTCGCACAACACGCTTCGGTAAGTCTTTCCGTTGTGCTTGTTTTTACCCGTTTGTACAACACTTTGGGTACGATAGATCGAGATGGAACGGTAAGAGAACGGCAAATGATGCTTAAGCGAAGTCAAGCAAAAGTGTGTGGCGCGCGATGCGTACAACGGTGGAAGGTCATGAAAGTTCATGTACGAAGTGATGTGCAAATCGTACAACCGTCGTACAACGGACAAACCTTGGAACCCCTGCTTCATCAGTCCGGGCGCCTAGTGCTTAACTCAGCGTACGTAAGCTGACAGATTGCGTTTCGACAGGACTCATCCAGCGGGACGGACATAGTTCGTAATGTGGAGTGTGAGGTGGTGGAATGCGGAACGGGACGATGCTATTGAGCAGCTGTCAATCACGAATTCCATGGTCCGTGCGCTCTGCGGATTTAAGAACGCCAGGCGCTCACAGACCTCAACCAGCACCGAAGTAGAACCTCAAAGTTCCGCACTCAGTTGTAAGCAATGTGCCTTTGTAAGCATTTAGTCAATGACTAAGGGGATATGATGATGTAACGCATACTGTACACGTAGATTTACATGGTATGTTCCTAGCTCGACAGACTACTAAACTAGCGCAAAGACTTTCCAATCCGCAATGTACATCCTCGTCACTACATACATACCCGACCCTGCCATGAGCATGACACCTGAAAAGACGTTCAGCCCCCAGTACTTTCCATTATTTTGATCGACAATAGCTCCCGCAATCGGATTACCGGCCAAGCCCGCAAACGATATGCATGCAAATACAACACCAACGCGTATTCCAATCTGATCGACCTTGGAGATGTGTGCTATCTGGGCCGGTAACAGTGAGACGAAAGCACCCGAAGCGAAACCGTAGAGAGCAGCGAATGTGATGTATGCCGCATTGCTAGATGCGGGGAGAGCCAATGCGAGGACGAGGATGCCAGCTACCAGACACCACAATGATTGCATGTTGAATTTGCCGACCTTGTCTGCGAGAGCACCGGGGATGATACGGCCGAAGATGCTTGCGGCGTTGAGGACAGCCAGGAGATATCCAGCTAAGCGAGTTGACATTCCATCTGACATGGCTTCAACCTCAATAAAGTTGATGGGGATAACTAGACATGGGTCAGTATGTGGCTTACGTGGAGTTCGAAGGAAGACAGGAACTTACACATCCCCATGAAGAACATGAATGACGCAATGGTCAATAAGATGAAGCGAGTGTCCTTGAAGGGCTCCAGAAAGACCCAGAGTTCCAATTTTCTAGGCCTCGGCGGCAGACGAGACTTGACAGTGACGAATGCGATACCCATCATACCGAGAATCAGGAACGCTAATGTTCTCATCGTCCAGCCATAGCCAATTTGGGGGATGAGATGAGTTGCCATGATGGGGAAGATGATGCCGCCTAGCCCACTGCCAGCAGCCATGACTCCGTACGCCAGCCCTCTCTTCTTGAGAAACCAAGTAGGGATGGTGCTAGTTCCCGCCTGGAAGATGCAGTTCAAGCCCAGGGGGCTACAAATGCCTTGTGCGAGAACAAACTGCCAGTACTCGGTGCAGAGGCTCGTCATCATGAGACCAAAGACATGGAAGAAGGTGCCAAATAGCAGTATGTATCTGGGGCCGTAGTTGTCATAGATAAACCCGACGATAGGTCCAGGCGCGAACATGACGAAGATCTCGAGGGAGGCTATCCAGGCGATGGTAGAAGGCGAGTAGTCACTTAATTGGTTCCGCTGGTAGTAGCTCTGGAACACTCCAACTGCGTTCAGCCATCCGAATGAGCAGAAAAGACAGCAGAAGCCTCCGAGGAGACACAGGTATGCATCCCTTCCGCCATCAGGAAACTGACTTGGATGGAAAGGACTCACGACCACTGGAGGCTCGGTCGTATCTGGTTGCTTTTCGTCAAGTGATACTGGGGGCTGTTCAATGTCGGTATGAGGCAGTCGTGATTTCTCCTCGTGAATCGAGGCCACTGAGCTTGTCGCTTGTGACATGGTAAGACAAGATGGTGGTGGATCGGAGGCTAGAAAGTAAGGGGAGTTGGTAACACAAGTCTTGGAAAATTGGGCTTGGACATGATTAAGTAGTGGATTCAAGAGATTGGCTGTAAGATAGGTAGCAACTTTTGCTACCTACTTTGGACTCCGTGGAACGCAGAGATGGTCCCAATCTGGGTAAGCTTGCACGTAGGGCTGCTCGGTCTCGGCCTCGCCTTGGTATGAGGCCGACACACCGAGCCAGTAACGTGGTACACCTACAACGTGCGCCCCTTCCACAATAAGAAAAAGGGCAACAAGTACGGACTTAGTGAGTCATATTCCAAAGAGACCAGCTCGGATTTTTGAAATGTTTTGCTGGTGAGCTCGGTGTTAAATCTGCAAGGTTTGAGGACTAACGTGCCTAGCGGACATGAATAAGGAGATGTCGGAGATGGTGACATGTCCGAGATGGCGTCCGACAGGGTACTGGTGCCGTTGTACTGAACATGCAACGCATATATGTAAGCAGCGAGGTGAAGCAGCTTTCTACTGGGTTCGACTACAAAGCATATCTCTGCATTCGGTTCAGCACGTGTAACAGAGAGACGGCCATATTCTACCTGGGCAAAATTGGTACTGACACGGGTTGTGCATAGCCTATCAGTGGCTGCAGTTGCTGTTTCATAGGCGAAAGCACGAAGAAAGCTACCAAAGCAACCGTTTGCAAGAGTTGACTTGGTCAAAGAATTGTCCAAGCGTCTGAGAGCAAGATGATGATAATGGTGGAGAGGCGACATGTGGAGGTGCAGGGCAGGTTCGCTTGATCGGGAAGACGCGAAGACGCACAGACTTGGTTTGTTCGCCAGCCTTCCAATCGATTTTGCCTTCCTCATCAGTGTGGTCCTCACTAGCACTGCTTGCACGCGCACAACCGGCCAACCTACTCTCAGTCTCTTACTACCCTGACGCTCTGATTCCATCTCTCTCGTATCCTTAGGGAGCTTTGTATTTTCTGCCATCTAATCCGCCGACCGCCATCACCCCGCCCACGTAGTCTCCAGTCTCGACGGATTCCCTTCCATCTCTGTGACAACGGCCCGGTATGCGCAAATAGCCCGATGGCAGCTTTTTACACTACTGACATTGACGTGCTCTCTTAGCATCTAGGCGCTTATCTTCTGCCTCGCGTACCTCGCACCCCACTAGACTTCGCGCAAAACAAAACGCAACTCGCCCTTCGTCCCGCCGCATATCCTTCCCACCACCTTCACATTCAATATGGCATCCACCGAGTCATCCGGCCCTGTTAACGGCAACTACGCGCCGCAGCAGTACGAGAACAGCTACTCCACCGGCGCCTCCAACTTCACACCCTCGCAGCAGCCCACTGCCTCGCAGCCCGCACAACAAGCCGCTGCCTCAGAGATCCCCAAGGATGAGGTCGGCTGGTACTTTGTCGAGCAGTACTACACCACCCTCAGCAAGAGCCCCGACCGACTCTACGTAAGTCGCATGCTGCCCAGTAGCCTTCTTCTGCAGGACACGCGACTGACTCAAATCACAGCTTTTCTACAACAAGCGCTCCCAGTATGTTTCTGGTGTTGAGGAGGACAAGGTGAACGTCTGCCTAGGCCAGAAGGTATTTGAGACATGCCCAATTGCAACAAACACAAGTTGACACATGCATAGGCCATCAACGAGCGCATCAAGGAGCTCGACTTCAAGGACACCAAGGTCCGCGTCACCAACGTCGACTCCCAGGGCTCCGATGCCAACATCGTCATCCAGGTCATTGGTGAGATCTCCAACCAAGGCCAGCCCCACAAGCGCTTCGTTCAGATTTTTGTTCTCGCCGAGCAGACCAACGGCTACTTCGTCCCCAACGACATCTCCCGCTACCTTGCCGACGAACCCGTGGAGGAGGATGAGGACCAGCAGGAGCAGGCCGCACCCGCCAATGGTGTCACTGAGCCAGCTCCTACTGCTGCCGTCCCAGAGAACGCCGACCTGAACAAGAGCGACGAGATCGCGACCAGCGAGGAGGATCTGAACAAGGTTGACGACAAGCTGCACCAGGCCGCGCAAGAGGAGCCGTCTGTAGAGGAAGTTGCGCCCGCCGCTCCTGCCCAACAGGTTCCAGAGGAGATTGAGCAACCTGCAGCGGAAGAGGCACCTGCCGCCGTTGAGGAGAAGACCGCTGAAGAGCCAGCCGCTGCTGAGAAGACCACCGAATCTGAGAAGCCCGCCGAAGCCGCCTCAGCGCCCGCACAATCTGCACAAAAGGCCGCTCCTGTCGCCATGCCCTCTGGTCCTCCTAAGCCTGCCGCTCCCCGAACCTGGGCCAGCCTCGCAGCCTCCGCACACAAGGTCGCTACCCCCGTCGTTACCCCCCCCGCCCCCCAGCAGCCCCCTAAAGATCCCAAGCCCGCTACCGCCGCTCCCTCTCAACCCGCTGCTGCTGCTGCCGCCTCTAGCCAGACTGCAGCACCCGCCCGTGACCAGTCCCCAGCGACTAGCCAGGGTGAGGCCGCTGGCTGGCAGACAGCTACTGGACACAAGAAGGAGCAGTCTCGTGCACAGAATGCAGGACCCGCTGCCGACCCCGACCAGAAGCGCGCCTACATCAAGAACGTCTACAGCCAGGTTGACGACGCTGCTCTGAAGACTGCCCTTACCAAGTACGGTGAGATCGAGTACCTTGACATCAGCCGCGGCAAGGTAAGCAAAAGCATCCAACCATACCACGTTCCAGCTAACATATCTCAGAACTGCGCTTTCGTCGATTTCAAGACTCCCGCTGGATTCCAGGCTGCTGTCGCTGCTAACCCCCACACGATCAACGGTATCGAGATCAAGGTCGAGGAACGCCGTCAGAACCCTGGCCAATTCAACAGGGGAGGTGGATTCTCTCGCGGCGGTGCTCCTCGTGGCCGTGGCGGCATGGGTGGCCAAGGTCCCCGCGGTAACTTCCAGCCCCGCGGTCGTGGCGGTTCTATGCGCGGCGGTCGTGGTGGTGCTGCCCCCCAGGAGGCGTAGAGGAATCACGCTACTTCACACCTCATTTCCTTCCTATTCTTCATCCATCCATCCATTGTTGAGTCTGTTTGACTCGACGGCCTAACGACTGACGGCTTTAGCCATGTACTGTACTCGACCCCTTTCAGCGCTTGTATAAAAGTCATTTCATTTCGAGGAAAAGTCTGGGCGTACGCGTTCGTCTTAGGGTTCTGAGCCCTTGCATAGCGAGTGGTTTCGTTTCTGCATATTCCCTTCCTGTATCCGTGGGTATCTGTTTCGTCGTTTCCGAACGTATTCTCTTCTTCGCAGTCGCATTCTTGGTCACCTAATGTTTAGGGAAGGCTATCTGGTGGGTCCTAGGTACGGGCTAGGGATGTCATGGCATCTGGTGTAATGGGTGTACAGCATGGCTTCGACGATAAGAGGATCAGACGGACAATGACAGCCAAACTGTGAGATGATCTAGTACGAACACAATAAATGATATATGCTCGAATGCTGTGTACGGAACTGATGTGCGGTCGTCTTGTGATTGCTGATAACGTCACCTGATAGTGCGACAATGGCTTAGCCTAGCGCTACGGTGATAGCTGATTCGAGGACGCGCAAGCCCACCTGCATCAGCAACAGCCCATAAGCTTCAGGGCGCGGCAACCTGCGTTTTATGTTTAGGGGATGACTTGTACCATGATACCTACACCCGTTTGCTCTTCCTCCCACTCCACTTAAAAGACATCGGCGCGCTATCGTAGGACTAAGGGTGCAGTAGATCGCGCGGGGCTAAGCGGGGCCGTCGCGTGCATCACATCACCACTCGGCATCCCTATTGAGGCTGATCAGGTGTGTCGCCATCCGACTTCTGTATTCGTACACTCGACAACATATGCCCCAAGAATACCGCAAACATGCGACCTCAACTGGGCGGTGACGCCCTGCCTCCTACTGTCAAGCCGCGGTCTCGCAAGTCAAGCGTGGATCATCCTGCCGCCCCTTCGAGCAATGTCCCCACTACCTTTGTCATGAAACGCGTCGGGGATTTGGAGCATACCATGGCTCCTCACAGTGCAACTTCTACAGCGAAACAGCAAGATAACAACTTTGGAGTACAAAGTCTTGCAGATACTCTAGACGCTGCCTTTGGCCCAGAAGGTACAGCAGCTGGCGCAGAGACAGAAACAGCTAGCAAGACACTGCATCAGGGTGCGAAGAGTTCAAGATCCGAATCCCACAGCTCTTCGACAGACTCAGTTCCACCACAAGATAAATCCAGAACCACTTCGGTACGGAAACTGAGGAGGAACTTCACCAACCATGACTCGATTACTCACTTTAAACTGCCCGTCACGAGCGCCGACATCCCTTCTCCACTCCCCACATCCGCCATGGGGAGCACGCCCAGGTCGGCTTCTATTGTTTCCCTCAAGCTGTCCGACGAGGAATCTACTATGGATGATGCCGTGAGCCAGGCTGTTGTCTCAAGTGGAGAGGAGGAAGAGCAGATGGAGACGCAACAGGATACTATGAGCTTTCCACAGCTCGTCATGCCTGAGATGCAGATGCCTACCAGAAGACCTTTCACAACAAAGGGAAAAGCTATGGGGAAGCTCAGAGTTATGGTGGCGGGTGAAACAGGTGCGTGGTCGACGTGATGCGCGCCAATTACTTTGCACAGAGGCTAAACTGACAGCACGATATAGGTGTCGGCAAGTCCTCTCTCGTTCGATCCATTGTCCAGGTCTGCGAAGACATCGTGCACGTAGATCCGCTATCACCCTCCCAATCGTATGCGCAGCCACGCCCCCCGAAATCTAAGTCTCGTACAAAGAAAGCAGAGCACGCAGTTACAACACGAGTGACTGAAATCCATGCAAGCACGAAGCCTTATCCCCACTGGTGGACTGATGCCGAAGATAGTGGCGTACTGCGAAGAAGAAAGAGCAGTATTGACACCGTACTCGAAAGAAACATCTGTTTCGTAGACACACCCGGCTATTCGCAGGGTTCAGCGGACAAAGACATTGGCATGGTGGTAGACTATGTTGAGTCAATGCTATATCAAACATCATCCGTAACAACCTTAGAAGACAATGATGTGCTTGGAGTCGTCAGTGGTAGTGGGGGTGTCTTAGTTGACCTCGTGATATATTTGTTACCACCGCGTAAGCTCAATTTTCGCTAGTACCGTGCTTGTTACTGACTTCCATATAGATACAGACATAGCGAAAGACATTGAGTATATGCAACGATTATCGTACTTTACCAACGTTGTGCCTGTCATCGCAAAATCAGACATTCTTTCGGCACAGGAAGTAGTGGCTTTGAAGACATCTATCCTCGCCCGCCTGCAGACCACTGCTGTCAGACCATTTTTCTTCGGAAAGGCCATGGACGACGCATTACTTGCCGTGCAAGGCCTTCCGATTGCCAGGACGTCGTCATCTGGAGAACCAAGCGAAGCAGCCGAATATCCCTTCACTACACCGACATATCCTTACGCAGTCTCTTCGACATCTGGCCCAGACAATGACAACATGGACGCATCGTTGCTAATGTCGCCTGACTACGTGCAGCCCCTTCTGCCTTCCGAACTGGCTGCGTTAGTAACCCAAGTCTTCGACCCGGAATCTATTGCCTGGCTTCGGCATTCAGCAGCGAAGAAGTTCCTAGCATGGCGACGTAGGACGAAGCTACCAGGAGATTCCATGATGATGCAAGGTCTGGCTCAACCGCGCAGTCCAACAACAGCTTCAGTGGGACTAAATGGGGGCAACATGAATTGTAAAGCATCATCTCTTTTGGCGTCACGCAAGCTAACATGTCCGTCAGCATCCGTAGCATCTTCAGTCTTCTCTGCCACGTCACCATCTGGTGTCTTGGTACCAGGCTCTGGGTCTCCGTTCTACCCTTCGAACCTCCAATCCCCACTCCTCGCATCCTCACCCTCGCTCGCAAACTCCGACACCCTCGAGCCCCCAGGCAACTTCTCTCTCGCGAGATACAACAATGCCAGACAAGGGGAACAAGGCCTTAGTGAGATAAGGATAGCAAGATGGGCAACAGACCTCCAGCGCAGTCGCCGCAACGAAAGGGAACGGTTGGAGGAACTACAAAACAATGATAGGGCGAGATGGCTACTTGAACGTGTCGGCGAAGAGGTATCCAAGGGTACAATCGTCGCATCACCGGGCGGTCCACCCAGAGCTGAGTGGGCAGTCCGCCACGGCGATGAAAAGAAAAGTAATAAAGTCAGTCATCGGTATGCAAAAACTGTTGGATTGGACTCGCGGGATCCGCTTGGCCTGTGTAACTTTGGCGATGAGCTCAGGAGACAGAGTTTCGTGCTCGTTAAGGTTCTAGGAGGTATCAGTGTGCTGGGCGCTGTTGCTGTGGTGGTTTGTAGGGCATGTGGAATTGAGACGGGGTTGCCGCATGGTGGGTGGTGGGAGTGGATCACTGGGGCTGAGTAGGTCATCAGTTGACTTGGAGTAAATATTTGATCCTCGAAGGACAAATGTGGGGACGGTGATGTGGTATTTGTTATCATTCCCGAGGAGGACTTAGACTATGTATGTGATGATACCTTATAGATAGCCTCTGGTAGTGTATTGGGACGAGGCGTCTCTGCTCAGACGAACATAAATTTATTCGAATAGGAAATGATATCAACGTCTCGTAGTGTCGTGTTCGTAATGACAAGCAACGGTGTGTTTTTCCCGCTGTAATGGCTGGTGACATAACATTAGTTGAGTACCTAGCTTCTTCCAGGTGAATTTCTGTTTATGCCATAGAGTTTGACGTTTCGATTGATTGGCTGTGCAACTAGTATTAGAGCGTGCACTTCCACATATAAATCTATCGGTAATTTGGCATATCTATACGTAGCAATGGTAAAAGTTACCCGCTATACAAAGGCTCCTTCTCAGATGTATTCCCTGGTCGATAGTAAACCAGGCACTAAGCATGTGTGGGTGTGGGTGTGCAAATCTCATTGGAGACGATTCTCTCCTGATTTTGCGATTCTTCGTGGTCATGAGATCGACAGTTCGTTTTGCTGAATTCCTGCAGGATTAAGTGTTCAGTAATCAGGGAGCCAAGGTGCAATAGAAGTGGAGTGTGATGCTAGTTTTGGAAGAAGGCACGAAGGGCGGTTGCAGCGGCAGTGATTGCCTACTAGAAGCATGCAGCTAGGGTATAGGCAGACGGCTCGTACCATCGGGTGTGAGCACCAGTTCTTTGCTCGAAATCCAGTGGAGATAGTGATTGCCGTCTCGTTAATGATGAAACTTTGCCTGGTAGGTCCCGCTCGTATTTCATTCCAGCTGGACTTCGTGATGCGAGTCATCCGCAGACTGCCGTTGTTTGAGTGAAGTGCGGCACAAAGCAATGGCATAGACAAAGAATCTAGTACACTTTCCCAAAAGGAGAAGGAGGGAACTTTTGAGCTGCATGATCAATTGCATGCTTTTGTTGAGAGTAGTGTGGTAATTGTGGTGTAATTGAAAGCGGAGATAGGCATTGGTGGCTCTCATTGCATCCTGGTTCTGGGGGATGTGCATGGAACCCTGTAACATGCTAACGCTTTATCGCCTGGTGACGCGGTCATGACTTGGGTGGATAGTCATCGCTATTGAGAAAAAATCGTGAACGTTGATCTGAAGCCCCTCCAAGAGTTCGCCATAAGCTAGCCAGTGTTTACATAAACTTTTTTTGATAGCAGAGATATTCAAGCGTAATTTTGTGACTACATAGACTCGCGACTATAAGCTGACTTTGGTTCTGGTAGCAAGTATTGGCTTTCACACGAGTCGTTGCTTATTGTCATCCACAGCTATGTCTTACAAATTCAAGTACTCTTGTGGAGAGGGGTTCTATTTGTGGTCCACAGTCTTAGTGATGGAAACGACGGCATTGAATGTTGCCTGTTGAAGCGTAGAGATTCCGAGTAAATTTTCACAGAACGCAGGCTGGGCTGTCTCTTCACAGCGGCGAAAGTGACCCTTACACAATCTAGAGCAGATGTTACAGATCTCTTCTTGCGATCTCTGCAATTGTATCGGTTGTAGCGGGATGAACACAAGCGGACCATTTATACGTAATCTTGGAAATGTTATGATTGAGCTGGCATGGTCTTTATTCGGGGATTCTACTTGACGACATAAATACATTAAAAGAACCACTCGGGCAATACCTGTCGCGATCTCCAATAGAGCAATATTGAAATCAGGTTCAAGGCGGTGAAATGCCAGATGTCAACGCTCGTCGTCACAGTCAGTTCTGTTATTATCGCTGACACTGACAGCTGAGGACATTGGTACGGCTGCAGACAACCGCAATCTAGCCATCGCGTGCCGACGAAAGGAATCCGTGATCCCAGTCGCCCAAGCGAGATCGAACGATACATTCAGCCGGTGACCCAAAGTATTTGGAATTCTGGCGCTGTAGATGTAGAGCCACAACCCCTTGGCTAAAGCGGGAAGCACGTGATGCGGCTCTGCCCGCCTACTTAGTCAATGAAACTTGGTTGTCAGGGGTCAGTGCAAGACGATGACGCTAGTAGATTGCGGAGAATCTTTTTACAAAAGCAAGTTCCGAGTAGATGTGCTTGACTCAGTGTGAAAGGCACAGTAGCGCTATCCTTCCAGATTTCGATGCCACGGGTCGTTGGACAGACACACACACATCGTGGCACTTGCCAAGCAACGATTCCTGGTAGAGCGTCTGGAGTCGGAGTTTGGGGGATTTGGCTTGATTACCGCGTAAGATGGTGGTGTCTTGGGCGCAAGACTACAAGCTAGAAGTTGGAAGGACACTGGAAAAGTGAGGCAAGTGCAGGCAGCACACCGATCGGATACTGTCCATATACACGCAGCCGAGTGGGGACCAAAAGGATGATGGAGTGACGCTACACGAAAAGTTCGCCTGCTTGTGGCGCCTGTCGGCGTGGGCTGTCTTGCCGTTAGTGGAGATGACTGGGATTGAAGGGGAGACAAATACATACCAATTGAGTTTACTTCAAAACGGCATATGCAGCTTCCCACGAGGTGCAGGACCCTCGATCTGCATCGTGACGAAGATCGGATGTTCCCGCTCCGTTGGATGATGGTCTGATGTTTGCCGTTGTGATATGCCGCCCCCACGGCTATCAGGATTGGTCGGAAGATGGTTTTGATATGGCGCGATTGCCGATATCTCCAGTCGAAGCCACTTCTGTATACTCGTGTCGCACCAGATCCCCACGTCCTGCACCTCGCTTTTGCATCGACCCCGTGTTCGTCTACTAGTATTCGGTAATATGACGCAGCCAACTCTACACCTTGACCGCTTCTCCCTCAAAATAGACCCGATATTGCGGGCGACGGCAAGAGCCTTACTGCAAAGCACCTTGCTTCCGTTCCTCCGCCTCTTCCCAGACGCATCTATCACACATACAATCTCCACCAAGTGCTCCTGAAGCCCACTCTCGCCTGTCCTTGACTGACAGACGTACGTCGCAGTAGTGGCCAAACACCTCTTCATCCTTCTTGAGACCAGGCCCTATGCTCGGGTCTCTGCCCTTCCAGTCAACCAACTCCTCACGGGTCCAGAACCGCATTGAGCCACGCCACTCCCAAGCCACGTTTGGATCGCAGCTGTGATTCGCGAGGCACCACATCGGATGGACCGCGCTAATCTCAGGCCTTCCATCAAGACCCTGTCGTGCTGATGCTGTTCCGCGGAATTTCGCATACAGCGTGTTGAAGATCCAGGTATCGTAGCGCTGACTTTGCGTGAAGATGTTGATGTCCATCTTCTCTAGAACATGCAATGGCATGAGTACGTTACTCTTAAATGAAAAAGGTAGTGTTTGCGGTAGTCCCGTGAATGCGTCGCTTGAGCCACCTGAAGAAGCCGCTTGCCATGCAACATTTAGGTCTTGACCATGGTAGTCGCCCCAGATATACCGCACTTCCTTCAGCTCCAGAGGATGAACGTCTTGGGTTTCTGATAATGCCAGTGCGCGAACAAGTAGAAGGAAATAGAGATAGTCTGCTGCTTCACGTGCAGGTACCTTTCCCTGATCTACACTAACACCGCAAAGTGCAGGATGATAGTGGTCCTGTGCTAGGTCGTGACACTCCTCGCTACAGAAGAATACCTCGTCACACTCTTCACAGGATATTACTGTATCATCTCCGTTCGAAAGTGGTATAACACAAGCATCGCAATACGACTCATGAAGTCTTGATATGGCGGTAAGTAACGACTTTTCCTCTAGAACAGTCGAGCCAGGGGTTATGTCGTCCTTTGCAAATAAGCCCAGCTGCTTGGTATATCGGTTCTCCGGTGTTGTTCCATTGGAGATCAGGGTGGTGTTGAGTATAGGCAGTTCAGACGCCCTAACCTCTAGCCTCGGTGCAATATCCGCGAGCTCCTCATTGAGAAAGTCGAGGCACTCCTTCGAGAAGCGGTCTGGCTCATGGTGGTTCCAAGGGTATCGTTCGCGACGAACGAAACCTTTGTCCGGATACTCTTCTACATCCACATCCTCAGCAGACTCTCCTTCACGTTCAAAGTGAGACCGTAAGTGTTTCCACAAAGTCTTCTCGTGATCTTCGAATATCAGTTCTTTCGGAAAAGCCTTTCTCGCGCGAAAGATATACTCAGATGCACTGCGGAGACACCCGCAATCCAATAAACATCCAATCAGTATATCGTGACTGGATCAGTTAGCATCCCAATCAAAAGGTGCTCTCACCCCACAACTTCTTACATACGCGCTCTTAGACCATCGTGCTTGCGCCCATGCCAACACATCATCCTTCTTGAACGGGGCGGTTTTCGTCTCATCGTCTAGGTCCAGGTCTGCCATGCGCTCAGAGACGACATCCGTCCAAGCTGCCTGCAAAGCCTCTTCATGGTATTCGCCTTCTTCGACTACTTCATCTACCAAAATCAAGGCCTTATAAGCATCTCCTACGGCTAGGTCTGGGTATCCAAGTGTCCGGTATGCTTTTGCAAGCCCGAGACGGCATACTATGCTGTACGGTTCTTCGACTGTAGTGTCCTGGAGCGCCACCAAGTCTTCCGTTAGTTTTTCACGAACCGAGTTCCTCTCCTACTAATGTTAGATTGATCATCAAAACACACACACAATAGCACTTGCCTCCATTGCATAAGTAGATTTATTGATGTATGATTACTATGCTTTGTGATTTACTGAAACTTCTGCAAGATCGTGTGGGGGGCTGGATGGTTAGCGGTCGCGCTATCGATAGGTCGGGGCTAGCTCGGCCATCGCCACTTCCTCCACCAACACCCCTCAACATCTGTGTGCGACAAATCAGCCTTGCCATCAGCCGCCATCGGTTGTAACAAAGCGACCGAGAGGAGAGACGGTTAGAAATATGCTTCCGTCTGCAGCCGAACTCGTTGCGCGGTACCTGAGAGCAAATGGGTACACTCAGGTTACGTCATCCCTTCCTCGACT